AATTCCCCATTTGCCAGAGCTAGCCTGTGGTTTTGCTCCATGGGAAATTCTGCAGGTTTTGCATCAAGCAAACCCGTTTATGTAATAATGTCCAAGGCGTACTTTCTCTGACACATGAAAATTCCCTGCTTGCTTCTGGCTATTTCTAGCCCTAAAAAATATTTCAGAACCCCCAAGTCTTTCATCTTGAAGTAGTCCCCCAAATATGTTTTGAATGACAATAAAGCAAACTTATCATTCCCTGCAACAATTAAACCATCGACATATACCAACACATTAAGTTGCATGTTCTCTCTTGTCAGAGTAAAAAGGGAATAATCATAGTATGACTGTTTAAAACCATACTTCTTCAAAGCCATACAATGACTTCTTCATCCTGCACACTTTTCCAGAGTTATTTTTATCAAAACCAGGGGGAATTTTCATGTATACCTCTTCCTCCAAGTCACCATGTAAAAAGGCATTATGAACGTCCATTTGATGAACCTCCAAATTCTTCACTGCTGCAACTGCAAGAAATGTTCTAACATTCACCATTTTTTCCACGGGAGCAAATGTCTCATTGTAATCTAGGCCTTCAACCTGATGATTACCGAATATGACAAGTCTAGCCTTCAATCGTTGAAGATTTCCATGCTCATCGTATTTCTCTCTGTAAACCCATTTGCTCTCAAGCGCCTTTTTACCGCGAGGTAAGTCTTCTAAGACCCAGGTGCCTTGCTCTTCAAGAGCTTGAATCTCATCTTCCATTGCCTTCCTCCAACCTTCATGCTTCATAGCCTCTTTAAAAATTTTCGGCTCATTGCTACCTGTAATTACTGCAATGTATTTTCTATGTGACACAGAAAATCGGTGAGAATCAACAAAATGTGTTATGGGATAAACAGTACCTGAAGAAGGTGTCGCGGATGAACGATGAGGCTGAGATGGACTTTTATTCCGTATGGTGTGTGTCACAAAATCGCGAAATTTGACCGACGTAAATTTTGGACGCTTGCCCTTACCCATGATTTCCACATTTTCAGCATGCTCGAGAACCTCAAGCTCACTCTCACTCGGAATCTCCTGAGCTGCTGCCTGCACGCTGCTATTTGGAGCGTACCCTGCTTCCGCTGGAATTTCAGCGCCCTGGCCGGGCAGTGCTGGGTTCTTCGCACCCAGCTGTCGCTGGAATTCCATCGGTTATGGCAGTGTTGGGCGCCTCGGCAGGAGCTACCGCAGGCTGGCTGTTGTGCTGCGTGTCTTGCCGCAGGCCAGCTGCGGTCTCCACTGTCCGGGGCTGTGCAACACACCCGTCACACACACTCTCCACCTCGCTGCCCCCTGCATCCTCAACTTCGATAAACTCCGAAGCTTGCACATGATTATAGCTTCTGTCATTGTCAAGATCAAAATTATTCCAAGGAAATACATCCTCAATAAATTGCACATCACGTGAGACAAAACTCTCCTTAGTCTCCAAATCAAACACCTTCCAACATTTCTTTCCAAAAGGATATCCCAAGAATACACACCGTCTACTCCTACTAGCAAACTTGTCACCCTTGCTTCGTTGATTGTGAGCAAAACACAAACACCCAAACACCTTAATGGAATCATATAAAGGTTGTTTACCAAACAAGATCTCAAATGGAGTTTTGTAATCAAGCAATCTAGAGGGAGTTCTATTAATCAAATAACATGCCGCTTGCACACATTTCCCCCAAAATTTTCTAGGTAAATTAGCTTGAAACCGCAAGGCACAAGCTACATTAAGAATGTGTTGATGTTTCCGTTCAACACGCCCATTTTGTTGAGGCGTGCCCACTCAAGAATTCTCAAATATGATCCCATTAGCAAAAAAATAATTTTTCAAGGAGTTAAATTCTGTCCCATTATCACTACGGACCACTTTAATTTCACAATCAAATTGACGTTTCACCAAAGCAACAAAATTGAGAAACATGTATTCAACCTCAGTTTTATTTCGTATTAAATACGTCCACACACCTCTTGAAAAATCATCCACTATAGTCAAGAAATAATGGGAACCACAAGTCGATTGAGTCTTGTAAGGACCCCATAAATCTACATGAATAAGTTCAAAAATATGACTAGCTTTATTATTACTAATGGGAAAATTATTCCTATGTTGTTTTGCTCTAGGGCATACATCACAGGATTTATTTTTAGAACTTCTAATAGAACTACTCACAACTGGAAGATGTTGCAATACTTTTTCCGACGGATGTCCCATTCGTTGATGCCACAACTCTGTCGACTGAACACCATCTATCTTCAAAGCCTTCACCTCTGGAACACCACGGAAATAATAAAATTCATCTACGCGTTCACCCGCTCCAATCACCTTCCTCGTCGTTAGGTCCTGTATAACACAAATTTTGTTAGTAAATTGCAGAGTGCAATTCAATTCATCACATAATTGAGTCGCAGAAATCAAATTGCAATTCAATTGGGATACAAATAAGACGTTAGTAATATTCAATCCCCCTTGTAAAGTAACAATGTCAATCTTAGACGCATTAGCACTCTTTCCATCCGGAAGGCCAACCGGACAATGTTGTACATTAGTCACATTTGTCATCAAATTCAAGTCACAAGTCACATGATTGGATGCGCCGGTGTCAACGATCCAACCTTGATGATCCTTATCCTGTAATTTTGGCTTCATACTGTTCAAATGATCAATAAGTTGCTGAATTTGGGTAGGAGAAACACCCACAAGAGCAGCCCCATCATTTGAGGATATTATTATCACAATAATAATATTCTAGATACACTAGAATATCTCCAATATACTCCCTCCATTTCAATATGATAGTCTCAAATAAAATCAATTGCATAAAAAAAAGAACAATATTTGGAATCTAACATTAAAGAAAAAACAATTCATAAATAATTTTGCCTTGTTTAAATTGTTTTGATTTTTTTAGGAAACCGTCAACCATAATTGCATAATTCAAGGGAATCATTTCTTTACTTAGAGTCATGTCATAAATTCATATTTAATTAACTTAACCAATAAGAATTTATAATGTATAAATTAGTATGTATAAAATAGGAAATAAGAACCTTTCCCAATTATAGAGGGTAGCTGGGTAAGAATGTAATTTCATCCCACCTTTCCCAATTTTAGAGGGTAAAAAGGGTAAGGATGTAATTTCATGTAAAAATAAATAAGGGAAGTTTGATTGACCAAGATATAATGGGGTAATTAAATTTCTATTTTTTTTTAATTTTTTTTTAATTTTTAATTTTTATGAATTTCCATTTCCTAAGTAATACTCCATTTCCCATATAAGACCAAACAACTTATAAATACACTCCTTATTTGCAACGATTTGATATAAAGTAAAAAAAAAAACTAATAATTGCAAATAATACGGAGTATGAAACATACTTCCTGTGTTCTTTTTTACTTGACCTGTTTATTTTATCACGCTTGCTAATGCAAAACTTTAACAATCAATAACTTAAATTCTCCAAAAGTAAAAATTATACTTCCTCCATTACATATTATTCGTAACAAAGGAATATTTTATGTCTCACAAATAATACCCCTTTGTTGCAAGTAAGATGTAACGGAGGGAGTAAAAGTTATATATTATGATAGTACTTATTGAGACGAATTCAAAAAGGTCATACATGAATATATTTTTCCTCACATATTATTCATAAAAGATTGTGAAAGTAAGGGTGGTAAATAGTGTAAAAGTCAAAACGGAATAATAAGAATTCTCATAAGTCATAACTATACAAGTATTTTCTTTTTCAAAAAATCACATTCCTTCGTATGTGAAATAATTACACTCACACTACTTATAACGGATAGAGTACTATTGTAATAAAAATATTAGACTAATCCAGAAAAGAACAAAATCCAAATTACGTGTGTATAAAAAATTAAAGTAAATCTGAAATAATGAGTATGTGTATGGCTGAAGTTGCGGAAGTAGTCATCCGGAAATCATCAAAGCTGACAAACACATGGACCACTTTTTGTCAGACACACTAACATTCATATCACTTGCTGGGGCACGTGAACCCTTTTCTTCTAGAAGATATTTGGGCTTTTTTAAAAAAAATATTAAAAATAATTTTCTGTTTAAACTTTTTGATTTTTTTTTTTTTTTTTTTTTTTTTTGTGGGAGGTGAAGAATGACAGCTTATAATTACCTGTACAAAAAACGTCAGAACATTTTACTGATTTGTTCCTTTCATCTAGAAGCCCTTCATTGTTATTTAGTTTGCAACAATTATTGATGCAAGTGATTTTTCGTAAAATTTAGAATTTTAATGGTCCATCATAATCTTTTATAACCTTTTGAATCATTACATGCTACCCTTAAGAATAGTGATGAGCCAAGGGTAGGTCTGTAGTCGATCACTTGATTGTGAGTTTGATACAACTTTATACAAAAATCAAGCAATTTGAGCACTAGGAAAAGATGTTCGTATCTTTAAAAAAGGATTCGATTAGACCTAGTCGGATTAAACTTCAAGTCCAATAGCTAAAAGCCAACAATCAAGTTTACTATTTTTCATTCTCAATTAAAAAAAAAATAAAAAAAAAATAATGATATATTAACATTATTGAAATATATGAATATTAAGTTCACGATGAATCAGCGCTACCCAAGTTTAGTTCAATACTATAACAAGCAAGCGTTAATTTACATTAGATAACTTATATTTAGAGTAGTGATGACCACTACCAGGTATGGGCTCATTGGGCCCATACCATGGGCAAAAATGTAATTTCACGTATTACTTACCCATATTGTAAAAATGCAGTATCTCTCCTCTCAATAACAGTATATAAATTAAGAATAACAGTATAAAAACCAAGAATAACAGTACACAAATCAATAATAATAGTATAGAAGTTAATAATAATTGAGCACCGACAAAAAATTACCGGCGTCGATTTCGACCGAACTTAGCGATTTCCAACATAAAACTCACCGTTTTTAATGGCTAGAGCCATAAGTTTGTGTCTCAGTTTTTGGGTTATATTTTTTTGGGTGGTTTCTGGAGATTTTTAATGAAGGTAGTTGCGTGTTTTTGGATTTCGACCAAGATAGTAGCTGGTGGGGTGGGCTTCTTGCTGTCGGAGGTGAAAGGTGTGTTGGGCGGAGGTTTGGCCGGCAATGGGAGCTATCCATGGAGGTGGGGAAAAGGGTTTATGTAAGGAACAAGATGAAGAGAAAAGGGGGAAAAAAAAGGAAAAGAAAAAAAAAAATGTGGTATTGGGTAGTATTACCCATACCATGGTAGTGGGTAATACTTACTCTTTGTATTCATGGCTTATAAATTCTGAAAAGCGAAAAGATCACTCTTAAACTCCAAGTTTACAAAGGCCAAGGTCTTTATGTACTTAAAAATGTGTCAGGGCAATGGTAATAAAACAAACCTATTTACTCGAAGGAGGAAAAAAAAACCTAAATAGGATAGGTACCAATTCTAGATCAATAAAATTTATTGCAAGCCTTTATTTACAGAAAAAACCAACAACTTCAAGTAATTTAAACCCCTATTTACACTGAAGAAACCAACTTCTTAAAACAAATTAAATTACACAAAGCACCATGAAGTACAACTATCATAGCAATGCTCAAGAGGAAGGGGATGACCGGATGAGGAGTCGAACACGGGTGGACTGGAAAGGAAGCCGAATGCCTTAAAAGTTAAAACTCAACCAACCTCATAATAGTTGAATACAATCTGCAAATGCCAAATTTACAAAATCAAATGAAGATATCATACGCCTTCCATTAAATGAACGAATTTACACCTGTTATGACATGTGATAAATACTTCTACAGATGCTAACATTTCACTATCTGAGCTGAATATTTCTAAGATTCATTTACTTTAAAAAAAAAACAAATTGAAGCTTTAAGTGGGACGAGATGCCAACCAACCAATGGACAAACACGAAACAAACATGTAAACTTGTCAAACTCCTGCACAATTGTTTCAGTTCCAATCAGATTTTAAACTATCAGCACCATCCATCTTCAGAGAAGTTGCCAATCGTCCTCTTGCCCGTCGTTTGAATGCAGCATATCATATGAATCATCTACGCGGTTTTCACTAGCGCCTATATCATGCTGACTGGCTGTCTTAGGGGAGTTACGGCTCTGTGTCACAGTAAATAGAGGAGCGCCATTTGACTCATTGGCTAGCTTAGAAGCTCGGGAGCAGAAATCATCAAAGTCATCTGACAGTAAACCCAATTAAAAAATTATCAATAAGCATGTTATTTTTTATTTATAACCTCCTTTTCTAAGATTATTAACCAAAAGCTATTTGAACTTAGAACAGTAGAACCTAATAAAAATTCTTTGGATCATAAAAAAGCGACATTAATCCATTGTTTATGGAGGGCTTCTAGATTTAACTTAAAAGGGCTCTGAAATCTAAAATTTCCAGCATCATGTCAGAACACAGTACGACACTTTCAGGTATCGTACATAATGAATTTCTCTCACCCATAATCTAACAAAATGAAGCCATGCGGATCTTGTCACCAGTCTACCAAGTATTCTTCAACAGTAGGAAAGCAATCTAATTCATCTAGAATTCCTCTTTAATTTCCTCCATAACTCCATTTATCAAATTAGATAGTCAGCTGATAGAGGGGTCAAATCAAATAATACCCATTTTTGCAGATAAGTCGATAGACTCTTGCGGTCCTGCCTTAGATAACAACCATAAGGAAATCCAAACATATGAAAATTATTAAACCAGCAACCATCCTTTCCTAATAGCTTTAGATAACAGGTAAAACTGAAACTCCCTTCTGCAGAGCACACGACACCAATATTTTATAAAACATTCTGATTTGACTCCTCTGTATCAAGAAAGCAGCAAAAGTATCCCTGCAACTAACTCACCTCCCCATCCCCCCAATCTCAAATTCTACACAATCAGGGAGTTTGTTTAAAAGGTAGATTGTAGATAATAACTTGCGGTACTTGGTATATAATACGTTGTAAAGGTAGATCGGGTTCAATCAAATTTTTTCTCAACAAGCTAGTGCGACGACATTAAACATATATGTTTTAACATTTAAGATACACATTTAACCCTAGGATATTTATTGTAGGGAGGAAAAGAAGAATCTGAGCAGACTATCTACTCCAATAGAAGTTTCTGGTTCATTTAAATGACTGAATGGCTTATAATGACTTTACTTCTAAGGTACCACCATGAAAATCGCGAGGAATTTCTTGCAAGGAATGGTAAGGCTAGTAATGACATCTATGTCCTAAAATATAGCTTCCTTTGTAAGAATGTGGCTCCCATTCGAATAGTGCCAGGTAGGTACTGGTGTTTCCAACCAAAGTAGGTCAGCTTTCATCTCGTGGATAGCAGATATTTACAGCTCCTAGAGAAAGAGGAAAAACAAAGCGAGGGAGCAGCAGGATGGGATGAGGAGTCAGAAAATTTGATTCTGGAGAGGCAGCAGGTGGAAGACACAGCTCTCTTGTAGCTTAAATGGATAAATCTTCTCAAGAGTAAAAGATTTAACAGATTCAATTATTACTTTTTAAGCCCTAGAGAGCAGGTGTTAAAAGTCAAACCCCTGTGGAGATCAATTCCCTACTTGCTGATACCAAGAATGAGCATCTCGACGCACTAACTGGCAATTATGGCTATTAACTCTAAAAGGTGACATTACTATCTTAATGTCAGTCAGTGCTAATTTACCTAATACTCTTGAGTAAATTCTATATACTTCCTCCATTCTTTTTTTATTGCACCATGAGAGATTTCACGCTTGCTAATGCATTACTTTAGCTATTAATATCTTCTATTATACTTTTGTAAAAATTATAAAAAGATGATATTTGAAAAGTAGATTTCGAGACGAATCTTACTAGATCCTACATGACTATGTTTTTCCTAATAGATAAATAAAAAATGATGGTCAAAGAAGATTAAGTGAATAGTGTAAAAGTCCTTATCGTGCAATAGAAGAAAAACGGAGGAAGTTTATAATCTTCTATATGCAAATACTATATACGAAGTACTATTTATGCCATTTCCACCAACTACAGTAAGTAAACATAGTTACTTTTCCAACTTGAACTTCATAAGCCACTTTTTTAAATATTAACCACTGTAATAGTTCATTCACGAGAGATTGTTTTAGAGCTCATTTTAAGATCTTGAATGAACTCAGAATGGACTCTCCTCTAGCAGCCACATAATGGCGCTGGAACCCAGCGCACATGCAGAGACATATCTAACTTCACAAATTGTCCTAGCTGATTTATACTATAGGTGACCAGTAGCATCTTCCCTGGAAACACTACAGAGCTGATTTTGGCTTGAATGACGAAACTATTGATTCTGGGACTACTCTGAGTACCCCATATCACCCAGAACAAATAGTGCCAGACTGCCAGTCTCATATAGAAAGGATCTGGCCTTGTTTAATTATATTTGAAACAGACAACAACAAAACTGAACACTACCATGGAAGTATGGAACAGATTATGAAATCAAAGACATACTGAGTACCTTTGTCTCTGCAGTAAAATCCAATCGCTAATGAGGGATCAATAGACTCCAAAGGAATATGCCTGATCACACTGATGGAAATAAAGTAAATTAGTAACTAAGTCAAGGAAATCCAAGATGAAAAGGACAGCAACTTATGAGTAATCTCTTACTTGCTGTGGAATGATGAAGTATCAGCCTCTAGGTCAGTTTTTGTAATATTAGTCACCTACAAGTCAATACAAACACAGTGAGAGCTAAAACTTGTTATAAAAATCAAATACTGCAAGAATAACAGACATAAGAGTAAGCTACCAGCATATGTCTGTTATGTCAAAAGAATCACAACATTTCACTCACTTCTAAATTATGAAAGTAAGGAATAAGATTGACATGGAGTAGAGAGACAATCAGATTTTCAGGAATTATTAATTAAAAAGATTCATTTATTATATGCTTTACATTCCCAGTAAACAACAACTTGACAATAACATAATAACGGGACGTTTGGTAGATTTATTTATAATATGCTTTACATTCCCAGTAAACAACCACTTGACAATAACATAATAACGGGACGTTTGGTGGGCCAAACAAGCTTTGAATTGGTTAAGATTTAGGGTCCCTTATATTTTGGACAAAAATGAAAATAATGGAAAGGACGGATTTTCAAGATAAAATCTCACAAGTACACTTTGTGCACAACCTAGTTTGTGGTGCTTTTTAAAAGGTTCTAAACTGCTCTACTTGTGCATTCTTGTGTAGAAGGTTCTAGCTAGGAGTAAAGTAAGCAGAGTATATAATAATTATAATTAAGAACATTCTAGAGTAAGGAGCAAGAAGGCCTACACAGCTAAACATAGGCACTATCATTCATTTGAACATTGCAATCAAAGCATTCTTTGAAACACTCTTACTTGCCTCCTAACTCTTTTAGCCATTTTCATTGTAAATATAGTCAAACGAAGTAAAAGCAGCACACGATTTGGAAAAGTGTGCTTAGAATTGATTCAGAGTTGTAGAATTGTTTTTATTTTTTATTTTTTTATTTTTAATATATATTTGCTAAATTACTAATCGTTCATATTTAAAGTAATAAAATGTCATTTTAAACACTAAATATCAAGATATGACAAAGTACATTCTATCTCCATCTCAATTTACTGTACTCATAAACCAAAAACTTTACTGGCCCATATGACCAAAAGCTTCTCACACTTTTGCTAATTTTTTGTCAAATAGAGCAAGTAAAATGAGGTGAAAGAAAGGGTTGAATTATAAGAGCTTGGATTTTGTATGTATGAAAGATAAAAAATTTACACTTAATACATCAAATAAAATTTTCAACTTAAAATTGTCATTGTAAAACCGAATCACCGCAACATAAAATTGTGCCAAGATATTAGCACTTCAAATGTTTATATTGTTCTATAATCATACAATTCTACTCCTTGCAAGTTGCAGCACTTTATTATAAAAAGCAAATAATCCACACTCACTAACTGTTATACTCCTTTCGTTTTCCGAAGTTTTACTCACTTTCCGTTTACATCCATTTTTCTAAGTTTTACTCACTTTTGCCTTATTCCTTATATGATAACTTTTGATTCATTTTTTATCATCCACAATCCTACTTTGTAGTACCCAATATAATTTAATAAACTCTTATCTTTATTCTTTATTTTTTAATACAAAAGTAAACACATACATGGTCTCTATTTCCAAATTTTCTTGGTTTGCATAGCTACAGGCCTACAGCAAAACGGATGGAGTATAAAATAATCAACCATTACTTGTTACACAACTAATTTGTCTAAAATCTTGGAAAGATTTAAAGTGATGCGACTTATTTGGAACAAAGAAATTATAATTTTAAAAATATTTAAATTCGAATCCGGTTGTGTATTTTAGGATCATTGATTTATAAGACACCGAATTCGAATTGTGATCCTAACATCATGCCAAATCATCTGCTTTTAATCTAAAAAAATCCCCGAGACATAATCAATCAAGTAGATACAACAAAATGACATAAAAGTGTTTTAAGTACCTGTTGAACATCATGGGGATCAAGATAAAACACATTTTCATCTTGGACGCCAACAATGTAAGTTGAAACACCAGGCTTCCCACCCAAAATGCCAAGACTTTGAGGAAACGTAAATGTAGCACCCAATAAAGGAACATACCTGCTGAAACAATAGAATAATCAATGCAAAATCACTATTACAATTTTTAAACACACACACACACAACAAACCCAAAAAAGTCAGAATTGATCAAGAAAACTACTCCCACTGTTTTGGAACAAATACACACAACAAACCCAACAAAGTCAGAATTGATCAAGAAAACTACTCCCGCTGTTTTGGAACAAATACACACAACAAACCCAACAAAGTAAGAATTGATCAAGAAAACTACTCCCATCTGTTTTGGAACAAATAATACACTTTCCTCTTTCAGCCTTTTAATCATAATTAACACACCACCATACATGGACAAAAACCACTATCATAAATGCATTTACCTCATCCAACATAACCCACTAACATTTCCCGCCCTCACATGTCTCATTTTTTAATGATACAAAGTAGAATCACTAGATAATAATTTTTATGTTCCCATCCATTATGTCAATTATTATGAAGGTAAGGCAGTAAAATACAAAACAAATAGTTGCATAGATTATCATAGCAATAAGAATGTAAATTACCAGCAGATTGTAATCATGTCTCACAATGAATGAAAGGAATGTGCAGCCAATAACTGACCCACATTCTTGTAAAATTTGGACAAGAAACTTAGACCATAGATCAAAATCAAAATCATAACCATAAGAAAGGATAAAACAAAATATATTGTATTCACTAGGATGTAGTTCTTTGAAATTCAAAAGAAAAGTAAAAGCTTTGAAGTTTTAGCACTAATTGAAAAGCTTTGTGGGACAATATGGTATACCTTGAACCCTTCTGGTACCATTCTACAAAACTTCCAAATTTTTATCTAATGTCTAGCATAATAGCCATGCACCTATTTTTTTTTTTTCCATTGATATCTTTTAGAACCTTGTCCTATATTAGTGTATTCCTTACATCTACACAACTCTATGACCATTTATCAAGACATATATTTTCAAATTCCTTTAAAAAACTGTTAAATTAACCACCCATGCAGTCTATTGGCCATTCCTTTGAATGTCTCTATCTGACTTGAGAAAATACTTCAAACACAAATAAGTTTGCTTTTTCGAATTTGCAGTGTATTCCACATAATGACATTGTTGTAAATTCTCCCAGACTGGAGGAGTTCCTGCTTTTCCAATTGCAGCTCTCTTTTCAGTAAAAAAAATGTTAGCTAAACCATCCATTTCCAAATCAGATTAAGCATTATGCACTCCTTTTTTTATACTTTATGAACATTCAACAACGAAGCTTTGGTTATTCAAATAGTTGGCTACTTCTAAAATTCAATTATGAGGATATGCGTTATTTGTTTCTGATTCAATACCAAGCAACCCAACTGCTTTCACGAAAACAAGACCTGTTCTTCTTATAAAGGGCAAGAAGAAAAAATAGAAATATAGGATTGTTCTTTAGACTCCAAATATACACAAGCTACTTGTTCATAGTTCTAATGCAAATATTAGGCCACATTACATATCAATGCCTTCATCTGACTAAATTTCCAAACACTCTGACCTTCTGACTTGTGTCTGCAAAGTTTCTATCGTATTATGCAGCTAAAAGGTGACTAAAATAGCTATATCTAAAAAGAAACTTAACAACATAAGAATTCTCATCTCATGAGGACATCCCAAAAAATTAAGAATTTGAAACCTTCAAAAAAAAAAAAAAAAAAAAAAAGGTTTTTGGATTCACATTCTAATAATGAGGTACCCTAATTCAAAGGTTTTAAAGTTTGCGTATATAGGATAACTTGTAAAACAAAACTAACCTGGGATTAAGTTTATCAAGACCAAGTACAAGAGGAACCAGAAGCAGAATAGCCGTCCAATCAGCTCCATCACATGAATGCTCACGGCAGCAACCAGATACATCTTCTACACAGACAACAGGAGCCCCACCTCGTTCACCATCTTCATCACCAGAAACAATATAGACTGCCATTGGCAATGATTTACCAGTGCGGGCCAGAGTTTCCCATGCACGGCATGTGGCATAGGGACCTATCCATGACCCAGCAGCAAGGCCATAACCCTTGCCAGCTTCTAGAATCTTGTGGATAGAGAATGCTGATTCTTCAGAATCACCAAAATCGTGTAGGATTTCAATGTACCCTTGATCAATTTGCTGCATCATATGAATATCATTACCATTGCATCTATCATTCAAATATACTAAAATACAGACTTTTATTACCCATTTCCATTTTTTTTTTCTTCGTATTTTAGATGAATATTGACTATTGAGCGATTCACTGATATATATTCTATTACAAGTGAGTAACCAAAAAAGTCATTCACTCTGAAGTTTGAAAACAAAATGCCTTGTCACCAATGACATAATGCAAAAAAAACAACTTACGCCACTTGTTCTCACCTTATTCACAGATTTCCTCCAAGACCTCCCAAACCGATGAACCAACAACACCTGTAAATATTGTAACTTAGTCTATCTTTCACAATATTCGAATAATACAAACCAAGAAAGCTAACTAATTTAGCCCTAATTTAGCTAGAGATATAAATTATGTACTCACTTGGGCAACAAGCATTTGACTGCTTCGAAGCATGCAACCCCAATTAACATCACTAGTATACTTTGAATCCCCAATGGCATCAAACCCTACAATACAAGAATAACAACAATCAATCACAATGATATTAATCACCATAATCAAGGTCAAAAATTTCAAATACTAATCGAACCTTTCCTATATGTCATCAAAATCCTCGATGAGAAATCCTCGACAAATGCAGCAAAGCCACTGCTACTAACAGGATCACCACCAATTGCATCATCAAGTTTATAACAAACACCCAACAACCAAATATCACTTGTAGAAGTGACAGCACTAGACTTATTAAACCCAAACATGGACTCCCTAATCCTCCTCATCGATCCACTCGCCATGACCCTCTTTACAGCAGCCGCCCACCCATTACTACCACTACAACTAGTACTAATCTTAGTCTTAGTTCCAACCCCCTTCTTCTCACGAGAAGAACTCGAACTCAAACTCAAATTCGAACTCGGATTTACACCCTCCTCCACACGAGGCTCGAAAATCGAGAAAGCGGAAACAACAATTCCAGACAACAACGAAGAAGCCTTAGTTGATGAAGATGACGATGATGAAGACTTGTGATCGGAAGAATTAGAAGAAATGCAATTAAATTTAGGGGAATTTGAAGAAGAACTAGTACCAGATGTTGAATTTGCAGTACCAGTTCTCTCAAACAAATTCTTCATCACCTACAATTCTACTTGAATCATAGCTGATGATCATACTACTCAAATTAATCAATCAATCACCTAACTCTGCTTCAATTAAGCACAAACAATTCAAAACCTAATTATCCAATTTAAGCCCGTTTCCGAAACAATAATCTCAATAACAGCGGAAAATCACCTGAAAAAATGAAAATTGCAAAGAACAACAGCAAATTCTTAGGAATTGAAATCGCAAATCATAATCAGAGTGAAATCAATTGAAGAAATTTTGATGGAGGAATCGATAGAGAGAGGAGAGAGAAAGTAGGTTACCTTGATTTCGCCGGCGACGAGAAGAAATTGGGGAGGAAGGAGGAGAGAGAATGGCGTGAAGGAGTTAGGCGTTGATTTCTCCTTGGAAGGGAGAAGTGGTATAATTATGTACGCAACGCAATGTGCGCTCCGTTAAAATTATAGCGGTGATTTAGGGGTGAGCAAAAAATCAGGTACCCTGAATCGGAACTGAAACTTGTTAGGAACTGCAAATTTCGGAACCAGAATCTGTACAAGAGGTTCCGGTTTTGGGTAGCAAACTGGAGAACCAGTTGTAATAGGTTCTGGTTCAGGTTCTCAATTTTTTGGAACCGGAACCTGTAGGGTACCCTGTACATGATAAAAGTATCACTTAATTTCAAATTATACACTAATTCTTACTCAATTTTTAAATAATAAATATCAAAATTACAATTATAAAAATATATATTAAATTTGTTAGACAACTACTATTAGTTTGTCTTATTTGCAAGTTGCAAACATTATAAATTAGTGACCAACCAATTTTTTATTAAAAATTCCGCAAAAAAGTTAGTGAGTATATTATAATATAGGGTACCCTGAATCGGAACCGAACCTACAGGTTCCGGTTCCGGTTTCCAATTTCCAGGAACCTGTTCAACAGGTTCCGGTTCCGGTTCTCATTTTGAGGAACCTGTTGCAACAGGTTCCGGTTCCGGTTCCTGAAATTTTTACAGGGTACCCTGTTATGCTCACCCCTAGCGGTGATGACATTCATCAAATACTTGTACTTGTAGGTGTTGTGTTCCCGGGTACAAGTCTCCCATACCCAATACAATTATACGGAGTCTCGGGTCGGGAGGATCTGTGAGAGGACTCCGGTAAGGTCTTTCACCTTGCCAACAAAAAAAAAAAAAAAATTATACGGAGTGAGATAGGAGGTTGGATTGGTTGACTAGTTTTCTAATTTTCAAATGTGAATTTAAGGGTCGGATCTCACTAAGCTCATTTTAAGAGAGATTTTTCATAATCACCCCCTCTAAGATGGTGGTTTAGCTGTATTAGATAATCAATTCCAACCTAACCCACTTAAGCGATTCACATGCTTCAACCCCAAATTGTTGGACCTTGCCCATAATTGGCTAGAATTGACATTGTTAGGATTTATTTTAAGATTTGATATCAAATAATCACTCCATTTCTCTCTTTGAAACTCGAGAAAATACATGTTAATATGGCATATCAACAGGTTTTGTTTATATGAGGGTTAAAGTGTCATTTCCGCCTACTTAAAAAGGGTAAAGTTGTCAAGATGCATGAAGTCCATCTAACAGAGTAGCAACAAACTACCGACCGAAATCTCCGTCAAGATGCACGTACGAAGTCCATCGTGAACTGTCCTCCCTCAGAGATTAGATGCTGCAATTCGCGATCTTCTTCTCCACAACTCACCATTAACAAGATCTCAACTCTCAAACAATGATTAACACCTACCATTTAGGGTTAATTATGCCCCTATTTAATGTAATTTTCTTAGGTTTTTTTCGTTAAATTCGACGGCGCAGGTTGAGCATGGCTTAGCAATTTAAGATCTCGCCATCGTTAAAGCTGGGAAGATGGTGTTGCTGGGTTGAGCATGGCTGAGCACTTAACACTGACGAAGGAGAAGAGGAAAACGAAGACAACAGGGAATGATAGGACTACTCTTCGTGGTAATGCTTCTTGGGGTAGACAAGGTCTATTTAATATGGCGAATAAAATGATTAAAGGTTTCCACCGGAAGATAGGGAACGGTGAAAGGGTGAAAGTTGCAAATATGAGATGGGTGCAGGGCTCGACTCCAGTGTTCAAGTCTAACCAAGTTCTTAGAGGAGTTGGATCGGAAAGAGTGAAGGATTTGATCCTCCAGGATTCTAGATCTTGGAATGTGGCTATTATTAGGGACATGTTTGAATGGAGTACGGCCCAGAAGATTTTGGAGATGGAACTACCGTCTACTGAAAAGGAGGATGTGCTTTATTGGGGGCACCACGCCTCTGAGATGTACACTGTTAAAACAGGTTATGCTTTTCTAATGTGTGATTTTTCTTTGCAACCGAATGCTTGTTCTAACTATACTTTTTATAGTCTCATTTGGAAGCTTGATATGCCGTCGAAATGGAGTTTGTTCCTGTGGAAGCTAGTGATGAATGGTTTGGCGGTTAAGTCAAATTTAGCACGACGGGGCATAGATATAGACGACTTCTGTGACTCTTGTGGTATGGCACAAGAGGATCTTCAACATCTTCTTAGGATGTGCTCTTTTGCGAGATATGCTTGGCAGAACTGCTCTTTGCATATTTCCTCTGAAATTGATGAATCTTCTTCTTTGCGACAATGGATTCAGAATCATATCCTGCTTTTTCATAGCGAGGATGGAAAGAAAAGTGAACGAATTGGTACGTTCATTGGGATTCTTTGGAGTCTATGGTTAACCAGAAATGGGAGGGTCTTCCGTAATGAAGGTGGATATCTTGCAGATTTGTTTAAAAACTTCAATTTGGCAATGCAGAGCTTAAATGTTTGGAAGAGAGTGGACGGTAGTGATGCTTGTAGGGCAAAGGAAACAACGCCTAATGGGGCGCCACCTGGTTTTGAAAGAGTTAATGTTGGATGCGAGAGGGAGGAATTTAGTCACACAACAGATGCAAGATTAGAGGTCACTATTATGGTGGATGGCTCTTGGCACAAGAGGAGTAGGAATGCCGGCATGGGGTGGGCATACTCAGTGGATCGTCTAACCTATATTGAAGGTGGTGGTAACTATGGAAAAGCACTCTCTTCTCTACACACGGAGCTTTTGGCTTGTGCGGCTGCTTTGAAGTGGGCAAGAATGAAAGGTTTTCAACGACTTGTTCTATTCACTGATTCACTTGCCCTTGTTTAGTTAATCCAACAACCGAAAAGGAGGGAAGTTTGTTTACTATGGACAATACAAGATATGCTACATGAAGGAGGTTATTTTAAAACATGCATCATCTGGAAGGTTGGAAGAGACCAAGTTGTAATGGCTCATGACATTGCTACTAGATGTAGAGTTGATTTATTTAGTTTTACTAGTTAGTGCTGTTTTTTTTTTTTTTTAAAAAAAGAATAAAAAAAATAAATAACACTAATACTACTTGATTTCACCTCTCATATTTACAAAATTGCCATCATATTAACATAGCATGTTAATATGACATATTAACTAGGGGAAGCTCTTGAAACTCATTGAAAAATTCTCTTCGTTGTTGCCACCATGATAGTGAAGGAATATGTGGTGAAGCAAATGTGTGAGTGATGAGAGAAGGTTGAATGGGCAAACATCTTAAATTACCTTTTTGATTTCATAGTCGACACATTTTTTTTTACACATTTATCGATGCATATTTCAACATTATTACGTAGTATATTCGATTGTCAATAAGATAAAAAAACCAACATATTATAATTGAAAATTCTACATCTAGACCCTACATGCCTATATTTTCTATTTGTAAGTATAGATCACACATAAAAATCAAAGTAAGGTCCTGTTCTTTTCACCTTAAAAAAATAATATTAAGGAAAAATAATTTAAGTTTAGTAAAAATAAGTTCAGTTCACTAATTTCAGTTCAGTAAAAATAAGTCCAGTTAAGTAAAATTTAGTTTTCTTAAAGAAGAATTATAATAGAAAATCAGTAAAAATAATTTCAGTTCAGTAAAAATAATTTAAGTTCAGTAAAATTAAGTTTAGTTTAGTAAAAATAAGTTCAGTTCAGTAAAAATAATTTAAGTTCAGCAAAATTAAGGTGAATCAAACAGGGCCTAACTTATCTCAAAACAAGTCAACTTATATGAAACAAATGAAATATTGAAAAATTACTCAGTATTTTTCTTTCCTTCTCCATCCCTTTCTTACTTATTATTTTCCCCTCTCCATTCCTTTCTTATTCAATTTTCTTTACTTTCTGTGAATAAAACACCCCCTCTTAAAGAGTCTTACTTATGCTGCTCTAACTCGGACCTATATGTTTGTGTCCGACATGATACTAGAACCTTTGATACCACTACAATTTATAAAATTTCATATAAGACCACTATACATTTGAATTTCGTGTCACGTCAAATTGTAAAAAATTCGACATACGACACCTGATGTACAACATAACAACAAGGTGGCAAAGTAACATAGAGGCTGAGCATCCAATATGGTAGCTTGGTTGACAACTAAGGACCTGTTTTCATTGACTAAAATGAGCTGAATTGAATTTATTAGAGCTGAACTGAACTAAAATGATTGTTTTATAAAAGAAGGAAATTGGGAGCTGAGCTGAACTGAACTTATTAGAGCTGAACTGACTGAACTAAAGTGAACTGAAAATAATCGTATGAGAAAAGGCCCTAAGTTTCAACATTTTTGTATTGGGCCGGGCAAAAGTAAAGCCATCAATTATAAAATTCAAGTGTTTTGTTTTAGCTTGTTGCTTGCAATATTTAGCTTACTATTATTGCTTGTTTCCGTAATCAAAGTCATGGTAATGGAACTAGTTGATTAAATTACTTAATAAACACATAAAGTAAGTTCGGAAGAGCACGAAAGCTGGAATTCGAGTTGTTTTAGCTCGTTTTATGACTCAATCTACTTCTACTCATACTAGCTGTTTGTCCGTAAACTACCTTGAGTTTGTGCTAAGATTCTTTTCAATTATTCAATCATAAATACTTGACTTTGTATTATTATTATTTATTACGAAGTATAGATTAACATATTACGTTATAATCAACTCTATCTAACTTATAAATCTTGTACCTTATGTAGCATATGCCTTTACCCCCTCTTCGTTGACTAAGGAAACAAAAAATGAAGGTGATAGACAAGATCAAATCCGCCGAAGCAGAGAACAAACCCCTGTTCTCCTTCGAATACTTTGCTCCAAAAACCGATAATGGCATCAAAAATCTCTTCGAAACAATGGAGAGAATGGTGGTTCATAACCCCTTTTTTTTTGTGACATTACATGGAATACTGCGACGAGTAATGTAACAATAGACATTGCTAATCGTATGCAAAATAGTGTACGTGTTGACACGATGATGCACATTACTTGTGCTAACATGACCATCGAAAAGATTGATGAGGCTCTTGATACTATTAAGGCTAATGGTTTGCGAATTGTGCTTGCTCTT